CTCCAAAACTGCTTCTGCTTCTGCTTCTCCTCAAAAGCACTTCTTTTTCTTCCAAAAGCTTAGCCGAACACTCAACGTTGAAAAAAGCACTTTATTGAAGAAAAAAAAGTTCTTCTAAGATTAAAGAAGCTTGACCAAATAGGCTATTAGTAAGTGGCATGCTCAGCAGCTCGTTTTCAAATAGGTAAGTCAAATCCTCTGGAATGCAATGAAATGCAGCTGAAATTAATTAAATATAGAATATTCTTTCTTTTTTTCCTTCTAGAGACTTTTAAAATTGGAGGAAAAAAAGGTTAAATATCTCGACATAATGTCGAAAGACAATGAATTTTCTCAAGGTCTTTAGTATCGCTGTGAATTAGCATTTTTAGTATTGAATCATGGAATTTCTTTGTTTCTCTGTTTTAGGAATATGAGTGTGTGACTTGTTATAATTGATCCTATTGGTACTATAGAGAAAGGGTCTGTCATCATATATGCATTCCTTCTATTTTCAGGGCCTATCCGAAAGAGAATCCAGTACTTTTTGGTCATGAATATATGAATAGATTGATTGCTATTCAAGAATTCTTGTTTAGGTAGCTCATACCATAAGATTTCAATTCTTCCATAACTGGATAATCAACACTGAAAACTGTGCTGCTCCCGGTACTATACGGCCAAGTACGGGGCCTCTTCCATCTTCGGTTGGTGAGCACCCAAAAAATAGCATTGCCTCTGCCGCAGCTGCTTCTCAACCCAAAACACCATCAGCTTCATCTCTTTCCATGGTTGCCATACCTTCATCACCAGTAACTGCTACATCACCCCCATCGGCTGCAGATGCCCGAGAGGAGAATGTCCCTCCTCCCAGTCCCCAAACCATGGGAATTTGGGGCACAACTACTCGTCCCTTTCTGCAAATACCCAGAGGAGGAGGATTGTCTCTCTCACGGTATCTACCGAGTTCCATCTGCTATCCCGACTGATGGAACTCGCCAATTATCTGAAGCCACTGGCTTTAGAAAAGGATAAGAAGAAAATACACTCTTTCGGGAGAGTGTTTGTTAAATAACGTCATGCATACTGCGGCAGCGGTAACATATTTGTTCTCTTTACTGTTGGTTCCTTCTTGACTTGCTATGACAGGGTTTCTAACTTGGTTTTTGCTTTATAAGCCAACTTCCTTGCTTCCGAGGGCCTTCAAAAATTGATCTTTGATAAAGAAGGACTCCAGTCCGAGTGGGACCAGTTGTTGGCCGAGAGGGACCAAATTACTGCTCGCCTCCCGGTGGTAGAAGCAAAAGCTGCTGAGGCAGGTGAGTTAGAAGCTCAGTTGCAACAGATTGAGCAGGAAGTGATGGCCCTAAGCCAAGAAGCCTCTCAACTAAATGTACAATTTCAAGAAGCCAAGGCTAAATAGCTCGAGGTCCAAAATGTTGTGGTCACAGCTGCCGAGCGCAAATCTGCCTCTATTGAGAGAATGAATAACTTGGAGGCAGCCTTGAACTCCAAAGCTGAGGAGGCTGCTGCTACCAAGGAGAAGCATGTCCAGATGGAGGATAGGTATAAAAGGATCATGGAACATAATAAGGTTCATGTAACAACTATCTGTGATCTTGATCTTAGCCTTAGCACCACGAGATCCGAGCGGGATGGCCTCTTGACCGAGGTTGATTTGCTTAAATAAAAATTCCAACGCCGAGCGAATTCCCTCATCATTGAAAAAATATATTCTATGTACAGAATGAGGAGAAAAACCTTGGAAGAGGCCAAAGCGGGCATCATTGATGTTGATGATGAAATCTCCAAGGCCCGAGAGCTAGAGTTAACTGCTCAAAGACGCCTCCCAGCTTAGCCTGATGCAACTAACTCTTCTGGTTTTGGTTCCAAATTCTCAAGAACAGAGGAGGAACTTGAGGAGAATAACAATGACGGCAAAGATCCTAAGCCGACAGCAGATCCGCCTACTTTTCCCGGGGGCGCTGATGCTCCTCTTCCCTCGAGTTCTGGGGGCGATGTAGTTTTGCTTTTTTGCTTTTTCTCCTTTTTTGTATTCTTTTTGTATTTTTGTACTTGTGATGCTTGGCACATTTGATAATTAAGAGTGTTTTTTGTTTAAGCATTTCATAAAGTTTTTTTTTTTGCATCTAATTATGCAAGGCTTCGGGTGTATTTTTCTCCAATAGCATTTGGGTTTCGGGCATAAACTCTTCCAGAACCAACCCTTTACTGTGAGGGTTTCATAAGAGAGGGCCCTCTTATGTTTATGGTGGTCTTGAAGAGGACATCTCATGTTCATTCCGGCACTGACATTTTTAGTACTTGATTAACTTTCAAATGATACCTCTTTTCCAGGCAGCTTTGAGGCGAATCAGTACCTCCGGCTAGTCAGAGTTGCTTCCGATCTTGGTATCCCAAACCCTAGTCTAGAAATAGAGTGCGCCAGGTTCTGTGACCTTGTGTGTACGTCAAGATTACATTCCAGGTTCTACTTTGGAGTTGGTACCTCCTGATTTCTTGTTTCATTTCTCTTACGTTAGTTAAAATTGTCATTAGCCTGCTTGTATTTGTAGCTTGATTATTATAGGTTGGGACGTTGTTTGTTTTTGCATTTGCGATTATCTTAATTTATTGTAGGTTCTAGTGGCGATGGTCCATGATGGTAGAATACGATCATGACCTTGGGGGTGGGAGAGTGGCGGGGGGTGGGGTGGTTTGACAAGGGGTAGACGGTAGTGGGGCAGGGGGCTAGGAGTAAGGTAGGGGTATGAGGGCAATGGGTCCAAGGGAGCCTATAGGTTGAGAATTGGGTCGTTAGACATAGGGATGCTGACGGGTAAGTCTATAGAGTTAGCTAAGATTCTCCAGAAGAGGAAGGTCAATATAGCATGTGTTCAGGAGATTAGTTAGGTAGGAACGAGGGCGAAGGACGCAGACGGGCTTAAACTGTGGTAGTCAGGTAGCAAGAAGGGTAGGAACGCAGTGTGTATTTTAGTGGATAGGGATCTTAAAGAGTCGGTGGTTGAGGTTAGGCGGGTGAATGATACGCTTATGGCAATTAAGTTAGTGGTTAGAGAGCTCACCCTAAATGTCATTAGCGCTTATGCACCCCAAGTGGGCTTAGATGAGGAGGTTACGAGGCGGTTTTGGAGGAACTTGATAAGGTTGTGTATGGTATTCTGCCCAGTGAGAAGTTGTTTATAGGAGGGGATTTTAATGGGCATATTGGGACATCTGCTCAGGGCTACAGTAAGGTTCATGGCGGTTTCAGATTTGGGGATAGGAACGGAGGACGTACGGCTTTGTTGGACTTCACTAAGGCTTTTGAGTTGGTTATAGCGAACTCTTGCTTTCCCAAAAGGGATGAACATTTGGTTACTTTTCAAAGAACGGTGGCTAAGACTCATATTGATTATCTACTCCTCAGGAGGGGTGATAAAGGCTTGTGCAAGGGTTGCAAGGTTATCCTGAGTGAGTCCCTAGTGTCACAGCATAGGCTATTGGTGATGGGCGTCAGCATCATGATTAAGAGGAAGAAGCGGGTTGTATGGAGTCTCTCGAGGATCAAGTAGGGAGCCTTGTCTTATGATAAAGCACAAGAGTTAGAGGGAAAGCCGAGGGTTATGGGGGCCTAGAGGAGTAGTGAGGACGTAAGTGTTATATGGTCGATGACGGCGAACTGTATTAGGGAGGTTGCGAGGAGGTGTTAGGGGTCTCAAAGGGTTACTCTGGCGGGCACGGAGGAGATTGGTGGTGGAATGTAGAGGTTCAAGGAAAAGTGAAAGCAAAGAAAGTGAAATACTTGAAGTTAGTGGAGAGTACGGACGAGGAGGAGAGAAGAGTGAACAAAGTAGGGTATAAGAAGGCTAGGAAGGAGCTGAAGCTAGCGGTCACTAATGCCAAGAATGCAATGTTTAGTCGTTTATATGAAGTGTTGAGGGCCAAAGGCGCAGACAAGAAGTTATTTCGGTTGGCCAAGGTAAGAAAGAGAAAGGCTCGTGGTCTGGATCAAATAAGGTATCAAAGACGAGAAATGCAGAGTTTTAATGGATGAGGCTATAATTAAGAGGAGATGGCATACTTACTCTTATAAACATCTGAATGAAGAGGGGGGTAGAGACATTGTGTTGGGTGATTTGGAGCACTCTGAGAAAGCCTTGATTTTAGGTACTGTAGGTGCATTAAGGTTGAGTAGGTCGTAGGCGCTATGCATAAGATGAACAGGGACAGAGCGACTGAGTCGGACGAGATCCCGATTGAATTTTTGAGCTATGTCGGTAGAGAGTGCTTGGAGTGGCTGATCGAGTTGTTCAATGTTATTTTTAAGACGAAGAAGGTACCAGAGGAATGGAGATGGAGTACAATGATTCCATTGAACAAGAATAAAGGTGATATCTAGAATTGTAACAACTATAGGGGTATCAAGTTGCTTAGTCATACTATGAAAGTGTGGGAGAGGATGGTGGAAGCGATGGTGAGGAGGTAGGTGTCTATATCGGAGAACCAATTCGGATTCGTGCCAGCTCGTTCAACTACGGAAGCTATCCATCTTATGCAGAGGTTGGTCGAACAGTACAGGGATAGGAGGAAGGATTTGCACATGGTGTTTATTGACCTAGAGAAAGTGTACCACAAGGTCCCGAGGGAGGTTCTTTGGAGATGTTTGGAGGTAAAAGGTGTTCCGGTAGCATACATTAGTATGATTAAGGACATGTATGATGGAGCCAAGACTCGGGTTAGGACATCAGGAGGAGACTCGGAGCATTTTCCGATGGTTATGGGGCTACACCAAGGATCTGCGCTCAACCCTTTCTTATTTGCACTAGCGATGGACGCACTGGCATACCATATTCAAGGGGAGGTGGCATGATGTATGTTATTTGCTGATGATATAGTTCTGATTGATGAGACGCGAGGAGGTGTTGATGAGAGGCTGGAGGTTTGGAGACAGACCCTTGAGTCTAAAGGCTTCAAGTTGAGCAGGACTAAGACTGAGTACTTGGGGCGCAAATTTAGCAATGTCACAAGTCATCCCCAAGAAAGGAAGTTTTATGTACCTTGGTTTGATTATCCAAGGGAACGGGGAGATCGACAAGGATGTCACGTATGGTATTGGGGTAGGTTGGATGAAATGGAGGTTAGCATCTAACGTTTTGTGTGATAAGAAGGTGCCCTTGGAATTTAAAGGCGGGTTCTACCGAGCGGTGGTTAGACCGACCATATTGTATGGAGCAGAATGTTGGCTAGTTAAGATTGCCCATATCCAGAAGATGAAAGTAGCAGAAATAAGGAAGTTGAGGTGGATATGCGATCACACGAGATTGGATAAAATTCAGAATGAAGATATTCGGGCAAGGGTGGGCGTGGCTCCCATGGAAGACAAAATGCGAGACGTGAGGCTTAGATGGTTCAGGCACGTGCAGAGGAGAAGCCTAGATGCCCCGGTTAGGAGGTGCGAGAAGTTCGCTCTGATGGGTATAAGAAGAGGTAGAGGGAGGCCTAAGAAGTATTGGGGAGAGGTGATCAGGCAGGACATGGCACGACTCCTGCTCACCGAAGACATGACCCTTGATAGGAAGCTATGGAGGGAGAGCATTAGGATTGAAGGTTAGTAGGTAGTTGAGCATTTTTCTACTCCGTTTTGTGTGTAAATCTAGTCGATCAGTGTCGTGTTTTGGTATGATAGTGGTACATGTTGTGATCGTACTATTTCTAGGACCTTGTCACTTTACTGATTATTGATGTTGCTTTTCCAAGTATATTTTCTGATTCTTAGCTCGCTGGTACTATCTTTTTGGTTATGTTGTTGTTATTATTCTATTGTCGCGTTTCATTTTCTTGTGCTGAGGGTCTATCAAAAATAGCCTCTCTACCCCAGGGTAGGGGTAAGTCTGAGTACATACTACCCTCCTCATACCGCACTAGTGGGATTATACCAGGTAGTTGGTGTTGTTGATTAACTTTCAAATGATAAAATCAATTCAATTGGACAAGAAAAAAGATAAGAATAAAAGGAATTTATTTTATTCCTTCTATCTTCAAAAGTACATAAGCATTCATTTTGCTGAAAGAAAAGAATTTGTCATTACATGTGGCTAACTTGTACAACTTATTTCTACGGGGATGGCTACTCAGTCTCCGATCCTGATGAGACATTTTTGTTCCCGAATTTCGTTGTCCCGATTTTTGTGGCAATCCAGTTGCTGTATTCTCATTTCATTCCCCCAGTGTTCGAATGCGAAGATTGTGAATTGGAACACTGAAAGTCGTGCTCCTTTAAGGATTCCACTAATAAATGGTTGCATAATCTTTGATCCAACAGCAAGCTTCGTTTCTCGTTAGGAACTTTTCTATTGAACCAAAGATTATCTAACCACCCCCAAGTGGATTATAGGGAAAACACTTGTAAATGGTTGAATAGTCTTTGGTCTGGCAGCAAGTTTTGCTTCCCATTAGAAATTTGCCATGAGACAAAGACCATTTTAACCATCTCGTAGTGTTTTGCCATTTCAAAACCTTGTCGTTTAAAGGTCTTATTTCTGCTGATGGTGTTTCCTTCGTAGTATATTTTCCGTTGCTGCTTTGTTAAAAATCTTGCAAGAAAAACCCAATTGGAAAAGAAACTGATGAAAGGAAAAAGAGTACAGCACATACTTTCAGTATAAGAGGTGCTCATCAGCAATAATACCTTTTTAGGTGAGTCACGTTCCAGTTGCTCGCCAATTTGACCCCATCTTGGTTTTCTAGTCCGTATGATCCTTTCCCAATGGCAGCTGAAACCCTGTAAGGTCCTTGCCATGTCGGCCCCAAATTTCCTGCATTGAGCTCCCCGGTGTTTTGAGTCACTTTTCTTAAAACCAAGTCTCTCACTTTGAAATAGCATAGATTGGCCCTTCGATTATAGTACCTTTCCATTCTTTGTTTCTAGGCCACCATCCTTATGTGTGTTATCCCTGCGTTCTTGAAGAAGCTCCAATTTGACTAGCAATGCTTCGTTGTTTGTTTCTCCGACTGCCCGGAAGTATTGTCACGACCCAAATCAGATAATAGGTCGTGATGACGCCCAACTATGATGCTAGGCAAGCCAACGCGTGAACCTCCACTTAACTATCCATTTTAAATTTTTAAAATTAGGAATTTTATTAAATTAATATAATAAAATCTAGCACTCATAGAAACATGTGCTTTTATTTACCAAATTTTCGGATATAAATAAATCATAAAGTGAAGTGATAGTAATAACGTGAAATAAAATAATGAACATCCACTAGGAACCCCAAAAATTCGGTATCACAAGATCATGAACATCTACTAGAACAATACAACACTACCATAACATCTTTTCGGAATGTAAAATAGACAAGATATAATAACTGAATAAGATGAAGACTCTGTGTGCTGTGAATTGTAGCATAAAATGCAGCTCACCACAAAGTCCCCTCAGCAGCTGCGCTAATGCGCCAAGATGACCACCTAGTTTATATGCCTCAGTACCTGCACATTCAGTGCAGAAGTGTATCGTGAGTACGTAAAATCAACAGGTACCCAGTAAGCATCTAGCCTAACCCTGAAGAACTAGTGACGAGGGGTCGACATTGATTCTTACTAGTAATCCAATAAATCAAATATAATAACGTAAACAAGTATGAAACAAGGTAAGTACACAGTGAGAACAAGTATAAGCAAATAATACGGTCTATACCTGAATAGTGAACACAAAGTCCTCAATTATCGGATACCTCCTCAAATGGAATACGTAATGGCCAACACCAAATCAACGGTCACATCTCAAGTCAGGAAACACATGAGTACACGGACTCCTTATCAAATATTACGCATGGTTCTGCCGAGGCGAGCAGCCCGATCCCATAAGAGTTGTTTCATAGAATTGTCGAGGCGAATGGTCCGATCACATAAGAGTTTGATACATAATACTGCCGAGGCGACCGATCCCATAAGAATATGAGACATGATACTGCCAAGGTGAACGACCCAATCCTATAAGAATATATTACTTTGCTGTGGCGAATGACCTGATCCTATAAGAGTGTGTTACGTGATACCCCCGAGGCGAACGAACCGATCCCATAAGAGTATTGCTAAGGTGCTCAGCCTGATCCCATTAGAATATCAAACTTTGATCAGTCATTGACCCACTCACGAATATACGTATGAGTTATAAAATTCAAGAAAAATTATCAGACGAATACGCACAATGTGGAAGAAATCCATAAAGGAAAGTAAAATTTCCATGGCTAATCAAGTAGCTCGTCAAGTACCTAAAATATCAAGACTGATACTCTACGCGAGTCTAGTCTCAAGCTAAATGTAAATTAAAGCATGGCGTGAGTCTAAGTCTTCTCGGACATAATCAGGAATTCCAGTATGCGCACGAGTACTCGTCACCTCATACGTGTGTAGCTCCCACAACAAGTAGCACTTAACAAATATAACACTTACGGGGTAAATTCCCACTTACAAGGTTAGACAGGAGACTCACCTCGATCTGAAATTCGATGACCGGCTCCAATACCTCTCTAGCACCTCAAACCAATGCCAAACGATCCTAAATTAGCCAAAGAACATGCAAACTAATCAAAACAAACTCAAGAACCTATAATTTATCATTTGGAAACAATTCTCAACCCCCCACGAAAAGTCAACACAAGTCAACCCAGATCCTAAGCTCTCAAATTTTGAAAATTGTTAAAAATAAATATTACCCATAACTTATTTAGCCTATATCCATAAAATCATCCAATTTCGTCCATGATATGACTTTCAAATCAAGGATTTACCATTTCTCAGCTTTGGGACTTAAAATCCTAATTTCTACAATTCAAACACAGATAAAAATAATATTCAACGGATATAATCATAGAAAAACATAAAACTAAAGGTTAGATATTTACCCCTTGTTGATACGAGAACAACGCCACAAAAATCACCTCAAACGGAGCTCTAGAACACAAGATATGCTCAAAATACTAAAATGCTCGGTCTGCCCATTTAAAGCACTGCCCAGGTGATTTTCGTTCTTCGCCTTTGCGGGACGCCTTTGTGTTTGCGAAGAGTAATTTTTTGCATTGATCGGTCAACCCAGAAATTCTTCTTCACGTTCGCGGAACCTCTCTCGTGTTCGCGAAGAGTAAAAGTTCGCACTAGAAACCAACAATCTTTTACGACACGGAAATGGGCATAATTCTATACACCTCGGAATTTGATTATTCTTGTTGATATGGTTTTGTAATTATGATATGGATCTAATGGTTCAATCTAATTACGCAAAATGGCATCATAGCCACTTAAACTTGTGTGATATTTTAAAGCCAATATATTAACTTTGGATTTTCCCATTTTAGCACCTCAATTCAATCAATTGAGTATAAATAAACCCTTTCGTCAAAGCGTGTAACTCAACTGCTTGACAATAAGAACACGTCAGATGCTAATACCATTTATTATTTTACATGTGTCATATGTGGGTCCCTTTTTTTTAAAACTAATGTTTCAAAATATATTTCTTTTCTTATTTTACTTCTTTCACTATTTCTTCTACACATTTTAGCGCCGCCATCGAGGAAAAAGTCCCAGCCATCACCCGACTGCCTCAATCAGCCATGAAATTTCATAAAATCTATTCCATCTTTCACTTCTAACAAAATCCATACCCCACGTCAAAGAGTCGATGGTTCACCTACTAAAATTCGGTCAAGACAACAAAAGAGCAGGTGAAGCTATGTCAAAGAAGCACACGAATGGTAAAATCCGAAAGAGAGAAGAAGTCGGACTGCGTAAGTAGAATTTTCCAGCCAAAATTCGTCAATTTTTTTATGGCCCTTCTCTTTTTTATTTGTCTTGCAGTTTGAGATGGATACAAAAAGGAGAGAGGGAGTTAATGTGAGAGAAAGGATTGACAGAAATTATTTGATAAAATCTATTGCTTTTCTTTGTTTTTCAATACTGTTGCCTGGGTTTGGAACAAAAAGAGGAAGAAGTGGGAAAAGATTGGAGCGGGTTAGAAAGAAAAGAAGGGGAGGTTGGGGGGAGGGGGGGCAGATGATAATGGATAAAGGGAAAAGAAACAGAAAGGGGTGATTTTGGAGGGCGCTTATTTTCTTTCTTTTTCTTTGTAATTTTTTTTCTTTTTCATTTTAGTTTTTTTTAATCAAAATTATTGTAGTGACGCGCTTAGTTTACGTGACTTGCACATACTTTGTCCACATTAACTCTGTCACTGCCACATGTGCATGGTCAATGGTCAAATAGGTTTATTAGTTACCAAATATACGAGTTTTAGTGTTCAAATGGGAACGATGTAAGTTTATATATCGGCTTTAAAATCTCGTACAAGTTTAAGTAGCCAGGAGGCCATTTCGCCATCTAATTACAAATCAAAGGTTATTTGATCAATATAGCACCATTCATGCCCAAAGAAACGACGTTGAAATAGCAAATAAGAGCGCGACACAACCCAAACACATCTGAAATACACCCGAGGCCCCCGGGACCCAATCCAATCACGCAAACCAGTCCCAAAACATAACACGAACCTACTCAAAGACTCAAATCACATAAAACAATATTAAAACTATGAATTGCATATCAATTAAAGCCTAATGAACTAATGAAAATTTAAACTTCTAAAACTCATGCCGAACCTTACCAAATCAACCCCGAATGACCTCAAATTTTACTTGCAAGTCCCAAATGATACATTGACCTATAACAATACACAGAACTATAATCCAGATCCGATATCAACAAAGTCAACTCACAGTCTAACCTATCAACTTTCTAAACCCTCAATTTTCCAACTTTTTCCAAAAAGCATCAAATCAACTTACGGAGCTCCAAATTCAAATCCGAACATATGCCTAAGTCCAAAATCATCATTTGAACATAACAGAACTGTCAAAGATAATTGGTGAGTTCCATCGGTCGGGATAGCAGATGGAACTCGGTAGATACCGAGAGAGAGAGAGACAATCCTCCTCCTCTGGGTATCTACAGAAGGGGCGAGTAGTTATTCCCCAAATTCCCATGGTCTAGGGACTGGGAGGAGGGACATCCTCCTCTCGGGAGTCTGCGGCCGATGGGGGTGATGTAGCAGTTACTGGTGATGAAGGTATGTCCAGCATGGAAAGAGATGAAGCTGATGGTGTTTTGGGTTGAGAAGCAGCTGCGGCAGAGGCAATGTTATTTTTTGGGTGCTCACCAACCGAAGACGGAAGAGGCCCCGTACTCGGCCATATAGTACCGGGAGCAACAAATGGGACCGGAAAGGCAGAATTGGCATTCTCCACCAAGTCAAACTCTCCCAAGAGCGCTTGGGCATCGTC